GGTCTGGGAGTGCACTGGGACCTCCGTGGCGGTCTGGGAGTGCACTGGGACCTCCGTGGGGGTCTGGGTGCCCAGTGGGACCTGCACGGGGGTCTGGGTGCCCAGTGGGACCTCCACCGGGGTCTGGGTGCGCAATAGGACCTCCATGGGGGCCTGGGTGCCCAGTGGGACCTCCACAGGGGTCTGGGTGCACAGTAAGACCTCCATGGGGGTCTGGGTGCCCAGTGGGACCTCCATGGGGGTCTGGGTGCGCAATGGGACCTCCACGGCGATCTGGGTGCACAGTGGGACCTCCACGGGGGTCTGGGTGCAGAGTGGGACCTCCACGGGGGTCTGGGTGCACAGTGGGACCACCATAGTCACCTGTGTGTGCAATGGGGTCACTGTGGGGGTCTGGGTGCACACAGGTTCTGAAGCCAGATTGCCTAGGTTTGAATCTGCACTAGCCAGCATTTACTAGTTGTGTGATCTTGGGAATGTTTTTAACCCCTCTGTGCCTTGATTTCCTCACCTGTAAAATGGGATATAACAATACCTCTCTCATAAGTACCGAGTGAGGTTTTAAAAAAGTTAATGCAAGTAACACACTTAGAACAGTGCCTCTTACGGGCTGATCTATGTCCCCCAAAAAGGTATGTTCGAATCCTAACCCCAAGAACCTGTGAACGTAGCCTTATGTGGAAATAGCATCTTTGCAGATGTAATTAGTTACATTAACATGAGGTCAGACTGGAGCAGGGTGGGTCCTTATCCAACAGGACTAGTGTTCTTATACAAGAGAAGAAACACAGAGACAGAGACACAAGATGGCCACGTGATGATGGAGGCCGAGATTGGGATGATGCATCCATGAGCCAAAGAACGCCAGGGATTCCCAGAAACCACCAGAAGCTGGAAGAGGCAAGGAAGGACCTTCCCCTAGAGCCTTCAGAGAGAGCTTGGGGCTGCCACCACCTTGATTTCAGACTTCTAACTTCCCGAATTGTGAGGGAATAAATTCCTGTTGTTTTACGCTGCCCAGTTTGTGTACTTTGTTATGGCAGGCCCAGCAGACAAAGACAGAGCTAACACACCAGCGCAATAAACGTCCAGCAGTTCTACTCTCCAACACGTGGGGGCGCCATGAGGTGGGATCAGCTCCTCAGCAATGGGTTTGGTTTTTGGTATTGTTATTATTCGTGTTACCATTACTATTATCATCACTATCATCTCAGCTACTTCAGCCCACATGAGTCTCGCCCTCTGACGATTTGAGCATGTATATTCTGCACAACCAATTTTTAGCACTTGCTTCTATAGGTTTTCTAATCGCTTCATTCCTGTGTGTCCCGGCTCCCTCACTATGCTAACCACCACCCCCGCTCCTCACAGACCCTCCGCAGCAGTCAATAATTAATAGGGTCACGTGCTTCAGTTTCCTTTAGGAGATTTTCCCAAACTTGACAATAATTCGGTTGATAAACACAAAAGCAGCCGAGTCTAACAGAGCAGCCATCCCAGGTCTGTTTCCTGAAGGCCGTGACCACGTGACACTAAGTGCAGAGCTGCCTGGCAGCCTGGTGGGGCTGGCCCAGCCCCAGGTGGTCTCCACCCCCCAACCTGGGAGACCTGCACTAACTCAGCTCAGCCCCTCAGGAGCACCCAGCCTCCTGAGTCTTACCTGGGAGAGATGGGCCCACACAGGGCAGCGCAGCAATTTGTAAAGATATTTCCGTAGCTGTAGGGATTGTAATTTTCTTTACCTCTTTTATTTGACCAAGATCCTTTAATCTGAAAGAAAAAGACAGTTATCAACACACAATATCCTCTTTCCCAAAGTCCCCACGCAGACTAATAGGGCCATGAGAAGCCCACAAAGAAGGCAAATAATCTTGACTCATGTTTTTAGCAGACGCTGTGAAGAGGCAGCTATTTTTAGGGAAAATTGGCATTTATCCCAAACAGGGAAATACTTAGTCCCAAAGATTAGGGAGAAAGTAAGATGCTGTCTTATTTCTACCACATGGTACAAAAAGGCCGTCTCACATACACCAGGGGAGATTTTTTCACACTCACATTTAGCGCCCTAAATAGTAATTAAGTGAACTGGTAGCTGAAAAGTTAACATGGCCCCTTTAACTGTCAAAAAGCAGTTTACAGGCCGTCAGAATTCTGCCCATGGTGTTGCCAAAATGGTTGGTTTCACAGATTCTAACATCCACAGTTACCAAATACAGATGGCGGTATTAGTATTATCTCATCTCACGTGTCTCACTACCCTTGATTTTTCGAGTCCTCAGTTAAGGTCATCTGCCTGATTCTGAGACATACAATTCATGTACTGACAGAGACCTCTGCCAAAATCTAAATCTGAAGAGCAGAGAGGACCATGCTTATTAAGAAACTTTTTCCAACGTAATGTTCCGTGTTTTTATACCTTTTCTCCATCTTCATTAAGTATAGGCACATATATTTGGGTAAAAAAGTTAAATTTTGGGTTAGGGTAATCATCTCCAAAAACTAGAGATATTAACTATGAATGGTAGACTCATTATGTCCATTCTGGGATGTCAGCCTACCGTGGCGTCTCTTTATTAGGGAAGGCATGACAAGTTGCTTACAAGATTATTTAAAAGGAATAGAAGAAAACCTTCTCCTGGGGTTTGAAACTGGGTGCCACCTGGCTGATCTTAGTATTTATGTGACCCCGTCAGAAAATAACATGAGAATTCAGAGATTCTGAATGCAGAAATATGTAGAATGACAAATGGAAATGCTACTGCACATCCTTTGCTCCAGAAAGGTCACACTGGGAATAGGATGTGTGGAAGTTATTGACCCCAAACCTCTTCTGCCCTGGGCCCCTCAATGGCTAAACACAAAAGAACACGCCCATGTCCCATGGCGTCAGGAACTTACATCTTCATTTGTTGTCTGGTTGGAGCTGATCAAGTACGTGTGGAAACCTGAGAGACCAACGATAGACCAGACTGAGAAGAAGCACACCACGGCCTCCAGCACAGTGAGGGAAGTCAAGGAGGTAACTTGGAGAAAGGGACCGCTTCCCAAGGGGTACACCGAAGAGTCAGGAAGAACTTGGAATTTGGAAACGTAACACCCACAGGCACGTTATTCGGACGCCTGGCTTCCCTCCAACCTTGTGTCGATTTCTACTCTTTCATCTACCTAGCTTTCTCTCTCACCAGTGGAAAATTCCAGGACAGTGACAAAGTCATATTCCAAGTCACCTTCCCAGCACACAGCAGCATTCATGACTCAGTAAATGACTGGTGGGCTCTAAGAGCATTACTTATTAATTTTTTAGCATTGACTCTGACAGTCAGTTCCTCGGACTGTCTTCCTTATGCGACCTTCACCTTCTCCTCTGACGCCAATGACTGTGACATCAAACTCAGGAAGTGTACTGGTTTGAGTTGGAAGCAGTTCAGGCCTTCCATGAAAGGAGTAAATATTGGGTATCACTTCAGTCACAGACTCTAATCTTGGCTTCTAAATCCTGAGGACTGTAGGATCAACAGACTTCTCCCCTGGCCAGGCATTGAGGCTGTGACACTAACGAGACAGTCATGCTAACCAGAGTTGACCATCATGGGCAGGGCTGACCCCAGGCGGTGGTGGCCTGGAGACAGTTTATCTTCACGGCTTTTATCTCTGCCTTGACGGCCATTCCACCCACCAGTGACCACCCACCCCAACCTAGGAGTACCCTGTGCACTGACCTCACCAGCCTCTCCTTAGGAGATGGCTTCTGAATCAAGAAAGCCCTCTATTTTAAAGGGCTGTCCATATTAGACCTGTGGAGGAGGGGAGGGAGAAGAGTCGGAACCAACGGTGGCATCTCTCTAGTGGCACAGGTTGAGGGGTATTTTTACTTAGGGGACCCAGTTCCAGTCCTTCAGCCAACCCCCAACATCCCTGGATGTCCTTGGCTGTTAGATAGGCAACTGAGATGCCTGGACTCTCACAGGACATCTAGTAAGAGGAAGCCTAGAGTTCCACAACACGTCTTCAGCCCTCATAACTAAAGGAGAAGAAGCTTAGCGTTCTTCAACAGATGAGGTAAATCAACCCAGAGTGTGGCAAGTGGAAAGACCAGAGCATTTTTCTGTCCCACGAATGTTTATAAATTTCTGTTTATAAGATACAGATATTTCTCAGGAAAAAAAAAATTCATCTTGGCTCTGGGAGTTTAAATATACTTACTGCACCCCTCATCAATAAATTTCAGGACGGAGGAAGTACATGCTCATGGTTTCCTAAAGCTTCCAAGGATGGAAGCTATAGATCACGCGGTAACATGCCACCATTGATTTTTTTCAGGATTGAAGATAATTCATCTTTAGAGTGGCGCACCGAATAAATGACCTCGTGCAATGCCATAATCTGCCACATCATTATTAACTGATGACATTGTCTGGGGGCACGAGGCTGCATGGAATAGCAGGAAGAATAATGCGCTCTTGCCTGTCTACTTACTTTCAACATCAGGATAAACCACGGTGTCCGCTCTCAGAGAAGAAGAAAAATGTCTTCCGTGTCTAAAGCTTAAACTTCCAGAAACTGCAAGTCCTCAAAAAAAACACCACCCTCGTTATGGACTGAATTGTGTCCCCCCTAAATACGTGTTGTAAATTCTAACCCCTATTCCTGTGGTTGGTGCCTCGGTGGCCCAGTGGTTAAGAGGTATGGATGCTAACCAGAAGGACGGCAGTTCCAATCCACAGCTGCTCCTTGGAAACCCTACAGGGCAGTTCTACTGAGCCCTATAGGGTCACTATGAATTGGAATCAGCAACAGGTTTATACCTGTGGTTATAATCCCATTTGGGAATAGGGTTGTCTTTGTTATGCTGATGAGGCAGTATTAGCATAGGGTGTGTTTTAAGTCAATCTCTTTTGAGATTTAAAAGAGCAGATTGAGCAAGGAAGCAGAGATGGGGGAAGATAGATAACATGTCACCACATGAAGATCATCAAGGAGCCAAGGAACAGAAGCTGAGAAGAGACAAGGACCTTCTCCCAGAGCAGACAGAGAGAGAGAGCCCTCCCCTAGAGCCAGTGCCCTGAATTCAGACTTCTAGCCTCCCAAACTGTGAGAAAATAAATTTCTGTTTGTTAAAGCCACCCACTTGGAATAGTCTATTATAGCAGCGCTAGGTAACTAAGACAACCCTGAAGTTAAAGCTGTCTCTGGAGGAGAAGAATGTTCCTGTGCCAGGGAGCCAAGATGAAAATGTCCTGAGCAGTGGAGTCTGAGGATCTCCACCCTACAGTACTCCTTCAGCCGGTCCACACTGCTTGGAGAGCCTTGTCTGTGGCCTGTCCATTCTTCAAGGAGGAAGGGAGTGAAAGGGATGAGTAACTCCAATTATTGTGAGGAGAAAAACTGAGATGCTATTTTGGAAAAGGGCTAAGTAGGAAGGGGTACCACCACACATCTGTCTGTGGTCTACTGTGATGGCTTGTGTGTCACTGCGATGCTGGAAGCTATTCCCCTTGTATCACAAATACTAGCAGGGTCACCCATGGTGGACAGGTTTCAGTGGAGCTTCCAGAGTAAGACAGATTAGGAAGAAAGGCCTAGTGATCTATTTAAAAAACTACCCAGTGAAAACCTAATGGATCACAACAGAAGACTGTCTGATGCAGTGCTGGAAGATGAGGCCCCTAGGTTGGAAGGCACTCAAATTACACTGTAGCCACAACAATGGACTCAAGCACACCAGTAATCGTGAGGATGGCGCAGAACTGGGCAACACTTTGTTATGCGGTACGTGGGGTCCCCATGAGCGGGAGCCGACTCAATGGCAACTAACAACAACAACATGGATAGGTAGGATCCATGCCACCCACCAGTTTGAAAGTAGAGGTGGAGTGGATTCCAGGGAAAGTTATAAGGTCACCAGTGGGAAGACCAAGACAAGGAAAACTGGGCTCTGTACAGGGAGATGACATTAACAATAGGAATTTGCACAGGCTGGAAGGGCAAGATGAGGGCTTCAGACATGTTCAAACTAGTTCAGTCATGGTTGATGAAGTGAAACTGGAATAGACTCGATTTTTACAATTTGAGTGATTTGGAACGTAACTGGAGTGGGAAAAATTATGGGTGGAAGCCCTGGAATGGGAGACTCGGAAGAGGCCCAGCGAGCCCTTCAGGAGCCTGATGCGTGAGACTGGATTATTGCCAGGACTGAGGAGAGTGGCACACATTCAAGGTGGCACAGCTGGCTGCCATCTTTGAGAGAGGGGTTGCTATTTCCAACTCTGCTCAAAATCTGACAGGCAAGAGATCTGGTTGCTAGGCAACGCATAGGTTGCTCTTGTTTTCTAAGAGGGAGATTAGGTTTCTAGCAGGGCTCCTACCCATAATTTTTTCCGTTCTGGTTATCGTTCCAGTTCGCCCAAATTTTAAAAATCTGCGTCTGTTCTGGTTTTGCTTCCTTTGTCATGACTGAACTAGGAAGAACTGGTTTGAAGCTCTGGGCAAGACGTGCCAGAGAAAGATCAAAGAGGAGGCGGGTGACAAATGAAGCAAAAACAAGGAAAGGCCAAGGGCAGACAGGAAAGAATAAAGAACAGAACCAAAGGACTCTCTTACTGAATAGTACATGCAGAACCGAATTTCAATCTCAGAAACACATGTCACCAAAGCTTCCAATCCAGGTAGAATGATGGTGAGTCAAATTATACATAACATTCATATGTAGGGACCATGGAAAAATTGGCAGGTATAAATGGAGGAAAATCACAGCATTTAAAGTGGCTACTGCCCACTTTCTGGCTGCTGTTCCTTCTCCAACGCCACTTGCAATTATTACCCCATAAGCAGGCATGGTTACTGATAGGCAGGGGCTTTTAAAAGTTGCTAGCAATAAGAAAAAGTACAGCTTTTTGTATTAATTTCTCATGTGCTTTAGAAGTTTATAAATAGCAGAAAGCAGTGCCACTGTTAGCTCACAGCTGTGTCAAAATGACATGAATTTAAGGTAGGATTCAGATGCAGCTCACTTCCACTCCCCACCTCCCCACCCCCCACAGCTGAGTCTTAAGGAATCGGTGTCTGCATTAATGACAATGGCTGGCATCCCTGGCTGTGTTTCGGGTCCTATTTCAAAGGCTTCCCATGAACAAACTCATTTAATCCTCACAGTGACCCAGTGAAAAGAGACTATCAGGATATCTTCTTCACAGATGGGGAAACCGAGGCAGAAGCCAGTTAGCAGCTTGCTCAAGAAATAGCAGAGCTAGGATTTGAACGCTGGAATCTGGCTCTTCCCATGCAGCAGAAAAACCTTGGGCTGGTTCCTTCCCTGATCCTTGCTGGGGGACAGGTGGCCCTCGGCTGACCCCCATCCCTGCAGGGGGGAGGGGATGGGGACACTTGCTGGTATGAACCAATGGCACTCATTCTCAGACTGAGAAGCTACAGATATCCTTAATACATCTCACTGGCTCAATAGCTAGATGTTGAAAATATCTGCGCCGTAATAAGATTAAGAAATGGAAATCTCTCTTAAAAGTATCAAAACCCATTTACTGATTTTTAAAGAGAGAAACGAGAGGAAACCCACCAACTCCACTGGGAGGTGATTTCCTAAGCAGCTGGAAGTTTATTGGATCCGGGATATGATTCACATGCACAGCTCCCAGTGCCAACTTCTGACTGCCCCACCCCAAGAGGACCGTGAGCCCTCGTGTGGTCTGGGGGATGGCTGTTAGCTCCCCACCGCCCCTAGCCTGAGAAGTAGTACACGGAAGTAATCACAAAATGTGTATGGAATTGGGAAAGACTTTGGAGAATGCTTATTTGCAGACCCTTCTCCATCGGGTCTCCGCATGACCCCTCAAGTGCTTGTTCTGGGCCTTTCTGTGCACCCTGCCTGCACTCAGGACAGGAACAGTGGGGAAGAATAAGATCCCTGCCCGACTGGAATCAAGGTCTGCTTTCAGAGCAAGAAGTAAAATGCAAACGGTTAGAGAACAAGGCAGCAAGGCTCCT